TATACATTTTATTTGAAATGATCTTACTATTATCTTTTTCTTGCTTCTCCTTCTCTACAATCTTCTGTACAATAGATTACTTTCTTTTGTATAGAGGATGACCTTTTGCTCATACTTGCTAGGGAGATAGCAATCTAGAATAAGGATAGCAATTTATCTTGATTCTCACAGGACCCTGCGAGGATCCTTGCCATGAGGATCGAGCGAGAAGGAATGTTCCTCCCCATGAGATGGGGATGAGGGGCATTTTCCTCCTATAAAATTTCGCAAAAAATTTTCTCCATTGTGTAGGGCCCTGCGAGTCCCCGTAGGGATCCCCCATCCTCATAAAAAATTAAAAAATATATAAAAAAAATTAATTTTATTTTAAATTTAATTCAACCTTCAAACCCAAACCCAATCCAATAAAAATTAAACTTACCCAATTTTACCTAACCCAACCCAACCCATACAAATTAACCCAACTCATTATTAACCATTTAACTCTAACCTTACTCATTTCTCATCACTCTCACATTCCCCTCCCCTTTTGTCGTCAGCACTCTTCAAGAATCTCAAACCTTCATTGTTGCCCTTCTGAGTTCTACCCTTCTCACCCTTTTGCCCTCACTTTCACTCACTTCTCCATTACCGTTACTGATCTGCTACTAATCTATTGGAGTTGCTGCTGGAGCTGGACTACATATTGCTGGAGTTGCAACTGGACTGTTGCCAAACTGCTGGACTACTACTGTTGGATTGCTGTAGGGTTTTTTATAAGCAAATATGGATTTGAAGAGCTAAGGTGTTTTGAGTTGGCTGCCTTCTTTCATGTTGGAATTTGGATGTTGGTTTAGTTATTAATTTTATGTTGGATTGATTTTTGCTCATGTTTGGAACAAGTATGTTGAATTAGCTATTTATGTTAAATTAATCTTTATTTATGTTTGGAACAAGTTTGTTAGAAGTTTGTTAGTTTAGTTATTTATGTTGAATTGATCATTATTTATATTTGAACAATTTATATTTGATTTTATATTTAAAGAATTTTAGTTAAGGGGTTAGTGTTTATCCGTTTTATCTCCAAAAAATTAGGAGGAACATAACAAAAATCACCTTAATGCATGCTTTAAAAATATGGTAATTTAGTCTTTTTCAATAAAAATTTATTAAAACGACGTAATTTTAAGATGATTTTCCTCATAATCTTTAGGAGGTAAAGTTGATAGGCACTACTTCCTTTAATTAATAGTACTTGAATTTTTAGAATTTTATTTATTATAATTGAATACTAATTAATTATATGCAAAAAAAAATTATATTTTAATATTAATTGACAGGGAATGGGGATGAAGGACAAAATCTATCTCCTATCAAAAATTTTTAGCGAGGATCCCCATTCTCGCTATTCGTGGGACAGGAGCAAGAAGGGATTCCTTGGCTCTGCAGGACCCCTTCACCATCCCTAATATGGAAGTTGTTATTCGCTTATGTTCATTACTATCTAGCACAGGTTCCATGTTGATATGATGATTAATGTGAATATAAAACTGATTAAAAACCTGATCACTACTAAGTAATTTAAGTTCAATTTATCTCAAACAAGATTTTAAACACTT